GATATAGCAATAGACTTAAACCATACATATAAAGTTTTAAAAAAATGTTTATCTCCGATCACCATAGAGCGATGTGATATCACCCAGTATCATAGCTCAAAATCGCAAGCCAAAATCAAACATGTGTAGAACATATAAAAGTTCAACAGAAATTTCAATTCTCAACTTTAGTTTAACCCTTTATCTTTTTCCTCCTTTTTGTCCTTTGTATCTCACCTCTAATGTTCTCAAGTCTAAAAGTAGACATCAATAAATACAATATACCTGTAAAATTCATCCACAATAATTTCCACCTTTTCATAGCAACAACGTTCTTCTTTTCATACATTTCTGAAATTTATCCAAGATTAGCAAAGAGTAAATAAATCAGTTGACTCACACTGTCATATAAGTTTACATGAGGAAATGCACAAACATAAATTATTTTCATTCATAATTTAGCCTGATCATCATAGAAGATGTCCAATACTTGGCCACATCTATTTCTTTCCTTGCTTTTATGGACCAAGTTTAGCGAGAACACCCTCTAGTTCCTTTATCCGAAACTTTTTCAACTTGTTATACACGAGAGATATGAGTAGTATATGCCACAAAATTGTGATTTTCAAGGTTATAACAACTGAGAAGAAGAAAAACAAATCAATTACCAAAGCAGAGATATAAGTTAAGTCAGAGTATACACTCATGATTTGAATCATCAATGCAAAATGTTTCCTCTTTAGATATGAAATTTATTCTTTGTTTATTTTACCAACTCAGTTCACTTTCCTTTGCTATTAAATTAAAATTCTCTTTTTTCCAATTAAGAATTTGTCGAATTTAAGACTACTAACATTAGAAAATAAGAGATAAATTAGGGGTACATGGTAGCTCTAAATGTCAATTGGGCTATTTGACCCCCACTAACCATAACTCTGATTGCTTAGCACATAAATATTTGGGTGCATTTTGGTGATTCTATTTTTTGAGAATAATCCATCCAAAAATAATCACTACAACTTAAGTCATAAGCAATACATAAAAGGTGGCTTCACATTTTTATGTAATAACACATAGATTAGTAAGCCTAGAGAACTTTCACACATCCTGAAAACTTACTATGAGAAAAAACTTACTATAAGAAAGTGTTCACATTTTTTCTAATCACACATATATAGCTCAGCTTTCTATAAGAGAACTTTCTCACATCCTGAAAGCTTGTGTCACGCCCCGGACCTACCCGGACACGTCAACAATCCACCATAAAGTACGAATAGTCAACCGCAGTCCAACTCATCCATGCTATACAAGGCGTCTTGAATACCATTCACACATAGTACATCCATAAACAAACATAATGTAAAACATTTAATAAAAGCAGCAGAAACATTTAGTACAAGTGTTCAAGCCACACTTGGCATCATTAGGCATGCAAGCCCCTGATGGATAGTCTACCCGGGGGGCAGCTTATCCGAGGGGTTATTGCTGAGAATAACTTAGAGAGAAGTCAGAGCACAAGTAAGTAAGAGAGAGAGTGTATTCAGTATGAATGTCGTGGTCTACAACGGGGAAAAGGGGGTGCTATTTATAGTAGCAATAAATGCCGGACAGGGACACGTGTCAAGCATCCATTGGCCGAGAGGTCACCTCATCCGGTTGGCGCTGGCAACCGCATGTGGCCGCATTTAATGCGGCTGTTGGATGGGACGTTGTACAGGGTACGGTGATCTGTATGCGCGTGAAGAGGAGATCTTGTCGAGTGAGGTGCCTTCGGCTATAGAGCAGTGCCGAGGGCACCCTGGTGCCGAGGGCTCCTGGTGCCGAGGGCTACTGTTCTCGCCGTTTTCTCCCAATTTCTTAGTTTGCTTGAGAAACCCGTTCTGTGAGAGTTTTAGCCTTCGGCCAGGGGGCCGAAGGCACCCCTGGTGTGTATTACGGGCTGCTCGGTACTCTGGGCGCTGTGATTTGGGCCTGTTGGGCCTTCTGGGCCTGTTGGGCTTTCACTGGAGTAGTAGGAGTCTGTGGGCCGGGGGTTCCCGGGCCATATACTCCATCAGGAGTCCCTCACTCCTTTTGCCGAAAGGTACTTGAGGGAAAAGGAGTAATTTGTGCTTTCCCTTTGATGTTGTCCTGTCGTAATCTCTGAAGTTGGTGAGGAGTTGTTGCTTTCATGTCCCTGCCGAAGGCAGTCCCTCAGTTACCCACATGTCGGGACTTGAGGGCTTGCTTTGCCGTTTGTTGGAATTTTTCACCAATTTTGTAATTTAATGATTTCCCGAGGGGGTCCTCCAGTCCCCCACTCCTTGAGGCATTTGTAAAGTGGTGAAAAGGAGTAGAGTAGTTGCGTTGCTGTTGTGGGCCGAAGGCTGACGCTTTTCGTTTCATTTTGGGGGGATGCCTCGTTAAAAACCTCATTAGGAAAAACCCTGTGGGAAAAAATCCTAATGAGGGAAAAAGAGTGCACCGAATTCCCCCAAGGATGAATCAAAAAGGTTAAAGCCTTGGTTTGGAATGAAGCGAAATGTTGATGCCGAAGGCTCTCATAGTCTGAGGGCGTGTTTGTTGTATTGCCGAAGGCACGCTGTTGATGTCCTGGGAGGTACCGGGGGGCCCCTCGATCTGGGGATCGAGGGCGTGATGAATGAGGGCAGTAGTTGAGTTGTTACAGGGGGTCCCCTGCTTGCTGGTTAGTTGGTGATGAGGATATCCGAGGGCTCCCATTACCTGTGTGCTGTGGGCTATCCGTCAATGAGGCAACTCCCCGGGGGCTACCCAGTTCTTACAGCGCTGAGGGGGAATCCCCGGGGGGTGGCCTGTCATGAAGCCTTGGGCTTCTGAAGGAGTGATCCCGAAGGCGTCTGTTATGTGCTGTGTGGGGCACAACCCGGGGGCGTCTCTGGGTAGGTGTACCCGGAGGCTCTCCTTGATGAAGTGGAGTGAAGTAGAAAACCCGGGGGCTTCCAGAATATAGCCGTTTGAAATATAGCCATTGGAATATGTATCGGCGGGATATAGCCGTTGGGGGAGGAGGACACGTGGCGCGTGACGGTTGGCTGACCGTGGGCGGCGTCACCGGTTGGGTGAAAACACGGCGCGTAATGATGACGGTCCATCCGGAGGCCCGGTTTCCGGGCCCAAGCCCGGATTCCAGCGCCTATAAATACCCCAGAGCCAGAGTCATTTCCTCTTGCGCGATCACCTGTCTTAGCGAAGCTCTGTCGGAATTTTTCTAGAGAGAAAATCACCCTCGATCACAGCAACTTTCAGAGGTCAGTTCTTCCTTCGTTCCTCACCGTTTTTCGTAAGCTTTTGCTCCCTGGCCTTAAGTTAGGTGTTAAAGCTTTGTAGAGAACCCTCGGTTTAGGAGTCTTAGCTTAAGTACACCAAGGATGTCGTCCCAAAGCGACTCGCAGAATATCTCGAGGGAGCCCTCGGTTGAGGATGAGATTGCTTCCGATGTTGAGTCAACTAGCAGTGCGCCCTCGGTTGCCGATGACGAAGCTGTAGCCTTGGAGTTGCAGAAGGCCCTTGCTGCTGAAGTGGAAGCCGAGGGCTTCGAACAGGAGTGCGAAGATGAAGAATTAGCCTTCGCGTACCAGGTGGCGGAGGATGAGGCGCAAAATGAGAGCATGAAGGTTACAGTTGCTGTTCTCCCCCCCCCCCCCTCCGGGGGGGGTTCTGGGGAAGCAAGTAGCTCGAGGCCGCTAGATCCGACACCTCTGAGGGCGGTCTCCGGGTTGAAGAAGAAGAAGAAGAAGGCCGCTACCAAAAAGAAGGAGAGAGCTGTTGATCAAGGAAAGCCAGTGGACATGCCCGAGGGGTACAGTTGGTTGAACACTGAGTCCCTCGAGATTAAGTCGAAAGCCGATAGGGCAGATCTGTACGTTACTCAGCTGCACGTGGGGCCCTCGACCGAAGTGGTGGAGCCGGGTCCTGACGACGTGTTGTCCAGGGCGCCCGAGGGGTGTATCGCCATTCACGTCCTCTCGGTTTCTATGGGACTTAGGTTCCCTCTGCACCCGTTCCTTCGGGAGTACCTGAGGTTTGTTGGTTTGGTCCCCTGCCAGCTTACGCCCAGCAGCCACTCCTACATTGCGGGGTTCCTCCAGCTCTGCAAGTCCCGAGGGGTGAAGCCCAGCCTGGATCTATTCTTCCAGAGCTTTAATCTGTGCCGAGGGGGGCACGAAAACGGCGAAGGATACGCGAATCTGCAGCAGATCGCCCGTTTCAAACTATTCTCCGATGCCCCTTCTTCAAACAAAGGGTGGAGGGAACGTTGGTGCTATGTGAAGTTGGGCGAGAACCCATTCCCGAGGGAACTACGCGATCGATTCCGAAGGCACGAAAAGATCAGGAGTGCTGCTCTCGAGAAAGACGGCCTAAAGCTCGCCAAGTTCCCGGAAGGGAAGAATAAGAATGTGGCGATCAAAGATTGCACCCTTGAGGAAGACTTATACACCCTCAGGTTCCGAAGGTACCGCTTCATAGGGGAGACCGACGAGAAGTATCCTCTCTTCAACAAGGCCTTCAGAGGAGCCGGAGGTAGGAGCTGAGGGCTTTAGATTTTTGTACTTAGTTTTTTTTCTTTTTTTGTTTGCTTGGATGTCATTGTCCCTTCGCTGTCGACCCGTCGGCCTAATCCTTTGTCGTATTTTTGCAGGTATCCCCGTGTCCATGGTGAACGTGAAGGGCCTTGCGCGTCTGAAGAAACAGGACCCGAAGGGGTCGGGACAGGGCAACCAAAAGCCCGCCACTGCCCTCTTCAAGAAATCCGAGGGCGATGCCGCTGCCAGCAAGAGGAAGGCGGCGACCAAGGGGTCCCCCCGGCTACCAAAAAGCCGAAGAAGGGGGATATCACCGATAAAGAGCCCCCGGTTGTGATTGTTGATGAGCACCCCGCCTCCGGGGTGCATGTGGAGAAACAATCGGATGGACCGCTGGTGGGGGCGGAGGAGTTGCTGCCTGAGGTCCTCCATGTTTCTCTTCCGAGGGGTACATCTCTGGCCAGCGGCGCTGTTGACCCGGGGGCCATCTTGAGGGGCATAACCCCTGAGACGGATAGGGCTGCCCTCGGGGCTTATAATGATGCGGCCCTCGAAGACCACATTCTCCGCTCCTCCCTCTCTGTAAGTGTTCACTCGGCTTTCTTCCTCTTTTCCTTTGATCATTTTGCGTGACTGCCTTTAACCGTTTTTGTTGTTGATCCGCAGGCTTGTCTAGCCCTCGGCGAACAGGCCCGGAGGCTTCAAGAATGGCGCCTCCATAAAGCGGAGCAGGACGCCAAAATGAGGGAGTGTATCCTCAAAAACAAGGAGGCCGTGAAGCTGGGGGCCAGGCTAGAAGAGGAGCTTCGGCAAATGAAGCTAAAATTGGAGGCCGCAGAAAAGAGCAAGGCTGATGCCGAGGCCGCTGCTGAGGAGGCCAGGAGGGCTGCCAAAGAGGCCGAGGATTCCAATGCGCTAGCCGTCGCCAAGGCTCAGGAGGAGGCCGTTGACGCCTTCGTCGCCGAGGGTTGGAGAGCCGAGGGACGCAAGGTGTGGGTGTCCTCGGTCGTGGAGGCATGCGTTGATGAATGGGCCTAGGGTCCTGGGTGGGAATGGATGGCCCGGAAGGGCAGGGAATATTATGAGGCCGACGAATTCTTCACCCAGGCCCTCATCTATCGGAGGATGGCCCGGCACCTGAACATTGAGCCAAAGGACTTCGCCCCCTCGGCATATGGCCTTCCTCCCCTGCAGCCTGATGTCCGTGAATCCCTTCCCGAAGGTGTACAACGGCCCGATCTTGAGGACACAGAGCTGAAGAAGGAGGCCGAGGATGACGTTGTTGAGGCCGGAGCGGAGGTATCGTCGAGGCCGGCTGCAGAGGACGCCCCGGGGAATGATGCTGTTGAGGTTGTTGAATGATTCTGTACTTAGAAATTTCGGAACAAATTTTTGTAATGAATACTATTGATCCTTCGGCTTCGGCCTGTTTGTAATTTTACACTTACTTCTGTTTTTGATGAATGCATGCTGCCCCTAGGCTTTTCACATTTGAATGCGCCCTATGTTTGAATGTATGCCTTCTCCTTTATGCTTTCCTCACGTATGAATGTATGGTGGTTTAGTGATGGCCGAAGGCCATGTTATTGGGACTTAGAGAATTTTTGCAAATGTAGTGTGTTATGTAGCCCTCGGCTACTGTGGAGCCCCAACTGAAATGTTGATTAGGCCGGGGGCCAATTCTTCAGGACTTAGAAAATTTTCCTCAGTGTTGATTCCTTGTGTACTGTAGCCTTTTATTGATAGGTAGCCTTCGGCTATTAGGTCCCTTCATGAGTTGAGATGAGGGTGAAATATGTAGGACCCATAGAGACTTCTAAGTGTAGCTTTTCCCTTGGGAGCCTTCGGGCGATGGCATCCATTCTTGATGTATGAGTAGTTGACCGAGGGAAAAGTATGTAGGACTTAGAAAATTTTCTAAGTGCCGTTGTACCGCATAGCCTTCGGCTATCCTATTCCCTTAGCTGTAATATTGATTGGGCCGGGGGGGCAATCTTTAGGACTTAGGATTTTTTTTAAGCATTGCTCCGTTGTGCCGCCTTCAGGTGATAGGTGCCCTCTGACTCTGCGTCACTCTTGCGAGATGCCCGGGGGCTACTCATTTAGGACTTAGAATATTTTCTAAGCGTGAATTGATGTTGAGCTTCCGGACGTAGATCCCTCCGGGTATATGAATAGGACCCTTCGGGTGATTGGGAGGCACTTGTGTTGTATGAGTATTTGACCGAGGGCCAAATATGAGGGACTTAGGAAAATCTCAAAGTGTGCCGTAGATGTTGAACCTTCTGTCAGTGAGGAGTCTGTCCGAGGGGCAGATATTTTGAAATAAGCCCCCTCGGTTGGCCTTTGATGATTTGTAATAGATGCCTTCGGTTATCGGGTGATATATTAGCCTCCGGTTGTTGTCATTTTCCAAAAGTGTGGACTTAGGAAAAGTGTGGAATCCTGTTGTTGTAAAGAAAGCCGATGAGGAGTTATGTGCCCTCGGCATACACTTGAAAAGTTGTAGAGTTTGACTTAGCCAGTTGTGTCCCTTGTCATGGGGTAGGGGCCCTCGGTATTAGTGCATAACAGATGCCCTCGGTATTTGTTTGAGGTACCGTTTAGTGGATTTTGGATAGTCCAGTCCCTTTGTATTGTTGAAGCCTTCGGGGCTTGTGTGACCGGAGGTGACCAAGCAGTGGACTTAGCCGTTTCTTGATGATATTTGTTTGAGTAGTATTCTTCGGGAAATAGGAGCCTTCAATTACCGGAGGTGTTCCCGTGGGGAGCCCTCGGCATGTTGTGATCTGTTGGAGTGTACTCTTTGATTTCTCGCTGAGTCTACTCCCCTTCACCCCCTCTTTTTTTTTTGGTTGGTGGTGAAGGGAAGGCATCAAGAAACTTGGTTTCTTGGCAAGGCTGGGCCTATCAGGAGACCATCAGAATACACCAATGGCTCTCCTCCCTCGGGTTAACCTTCCGAGTTCCGAGGGGATCAAGGGTCGTTTCCTGGGTACAAGATATGATGGTCTGTAACCTGCCTCCCCTTGGGGGATGGCGCGGAAAGCGCCTCATTTTTGAAAGTCGTCCCCTCGGCGCTAGACATAGTCCGTGGCCTGCCACACCCTTGGGGTGGTGGCGCGGGGAGCGTTTCGGTTTGGAAGTCGAATCTTGGGCATTTCTCGTGCCTGTCATACCCTTGGGGTGATGACGCGGAAAGCGTTCCATTTTTGAAAGTCGAATCCTGGGCATTTCTCATGCCTGTCATACCCTGGGGGTAGTGACGCGGAAAACGTTTCAAGGAAGGGTTTTCATTTGCACACTAGTTGCAAATGGCCGGGGGCACTACGTGCCGCCGACACCGATGGTGGCGCCTTCGGTATATGCGTCATCGTGGGGTACGACTTTAGAAACAACACTTGGTGTTAGTTTCGATATGTAGCCCCCGGTACTTGGTACCGACGGGTCTTCTGTAGGAACACCTAGTGTCCTTCCTTATGATGTTTGAAGGTGGAGATGTGTACCCCTGGCACTGGGTGCCGAAGAGTCTTCTATACGAACACTGGGTGCCGGAGGGCCTTCGAAGGAAACGCTTGGCGTTTTCCAACAGGTGTTTGAAAGTTGACAGGAGGGCGTATCCCTGGCACTGGGTGCCGAGGGGTCTTCTTTGAAACATTTGGCTTTTCTTCGTTTTTTGATGTTGATGGTGGAGGTGTACCCTCGGCACTGGGTGCCGAAGGTAAATGAAACACTTGGTGTTTCTTGTCGTCGGTGATGGGAGTTCCCTCCCTCGGTACTTGGTACCGAGGGGTCTTGACTGAAAACACATGGTGTTTTCACTGTTGTCGTAGGTGTTGATGGTGTCCGCCCTCGGCACTTGGTGCCGGAGGGGGTTCTCCTCGTGGTGAGGCCTGGGGCCTGTAGTCAGTATGAGGACTTGGCCGCTCATAAGTGTTTTGTTCTTGATGTCTTGAATGTGTCTTCATTCTTCAAAATTGGAGGCCTTGGGCCATAGGATAGTACATTCACTATTTATGAGGGCTTGGCCGCTCTTACATTATTGATAAAATTTAACTAAGTGGTGTACATTCCAGTGCCTAGGGACCTCTTTCCCGTTGGGGCGTTTGAGCTTGTAAGTCCCGGGTTTGATGATGGCTGCTATGATGTAGGGGCCTTCGAATTTTGGTGCCATTTTTCCTTCCTCGGTTGGTTGGCTGGCTTCCCTCCCCGGAGGACATAGTCCCCCACTTGAAATTCTCGGGTGCGAACCTTGGCGTCGATGTAGCCTTTGACTTGCCTTCAGTAGTTCTCTGCCCGGATGAAGGCTTGCTCCCGGCGTTCTGAAAGGAGGTGGAGGTCGAGGGCCATGTTGTTGTCGTTGACCTCGGGGTCATATTGGATCACCCTCCGGGTGGGAAGGGTGACTTCCGTAGGAGCTTTGGCTTCAAAACCGTAGCAGAGAGAGAAGGGTGTTTCACCTGCTGCTCGCCGAGGGGTTGTACGGTAGGCCCAAAGGATGTTGTGGAGTTCTTCCACCCAGCCACCGCCCTCGGCCTCCAGCTTCTTTTTGAGGCCCTCGAGCAAGGTACGGTTAGCGTTCTCTACTTGCCCGTTGCCTTGAGGGTAGGCAACGGAGGAGAAGGTGTGTTTGATGCCCCATGCCTCCAGAAGGGCACATAAGGGAGTTGCCTCAAATTGTGTTCCGTTGTCGGAGATGATCTGCTGGGGGACGCCAAACCTTGTGAGGATGTTCTTGAGGACAAAATGACGGCACTTCGCTTCTGTGATACTGGCGAGGGGTTCAGCCTCCACCCACTTGGTAAAGTAGTCGATGGCCACAATGATGTATCTGTTGTTGGAGGTACCCCTCGGCAGAGGGCCCACAAGGTCTATCCCCCATCGAGAAAAGGGGACAGATGTGCTGATGGGGGCATAGTTGACCGCTGGCTTGCCGGGGGCTTTCTGGAAATGTTGGCATGCGGCGCACCTTCGGGCAAGGTCAGCACAATCTCTGGCCATGGTCGGCCAGAAGTAGCCCTGGAGAATGAGCCTTCGGGACATGGAGAAGGGGCCCTGGTGCGCTGAGCAAGTGCCACTGTGCACCTCCTCCATTGCGACCTCGGCTTCATCCTGATGAAGGCACCGAAGTAGCTTGCCGTTGTAAGACCGTTTGTAGAGCCTTCCGTCTTCGATGGTATAGCTAGGAGCCCTCAGTTTTGCCAGTTTAGCGCGGGTCTCGTTCTCGGGTAGCTGCCCTGTGGAGATGAAGGTGATAATATCTGAGATCCAGTCCTCTTGGCGTTGTTGTATGTTCATAACGGGGCTTGCATGGATACTTGAGAGACTGAGTTCCTCAATTTTTGCAATCTTGGAGATGTGCTCGGGGGAGTCGGCCGAGAGCTTAGATAGTATGTCGGCCTCGGAGTTCTGAGCCCTCGGTATTTGAGTGAGAGAGTGTGCCTCAAATACCTTAAGCAACTCCTTGGCCGCCTCTTTGTACTGTTTCATTCTTCCCTCCTTGGCCTCATATTCCTCGGAGATTTGGCCAACGACCAACTTGGAGTCGCATTTGATGTGGATCTGCCGAGCCTTCATGTTGGCAGCCAGCCGAAGGCCACATAGGAGGGCCTCATACTCGGCCTCGTTGTTGGAGACTTTGAAAGAGAAGTGGATTGCATAGTAGGCCCTGAAGCCCTCGGGAGTAATGAGGACTACCCCTCCCCCGCATGCTTTGGTCGCGGAGGAGCCGTCGGTGTAGAGGGTCCACCAGTCGTCCGAGGTAGCCGAGGGCCCCCCGTCTGTGGCTGCCCTTGTGGTACATTCCGTCACAAAGTCCGCCAGGGCTTGGCCCTTGATGGCAGGCCTTGGACGGATGTCA